AAGATCAACCTTGGAAGATACTGTTGTTGTGCTAGCTTTCTTTATTTACTTTATAAGACCTCGCCATTGTAAATTTGTCCTATCAATAGATGTATATATGTTTTGTCTGTCACATCTCAGGAATAACAGTATTGTAAATTCTTGGGATGTGACATCCTCTCTCTCTTAAAAAGCAATTTATGGGATCCCTATTCAACTCTATACTCTCTAGAACCTCAAAACAATAAAAAAGAAAGATAACCACTGTTATGAGAATATGAGAAAAAGTTAAATTAAGAAATACCCAAATTGAAACACTTTTTGAACGTCCTAATCAGAAAGGCAAAAATAAGATAAATGAGCAAAATGTGCTTAACAATATAGTTGCATCTTGGTTGCTTGATGGGTGACATTAAAGCTCAAACTTTGTAATGCACTGTGAAAAGAAAAATGGCTAGTCCTAACCAGAACCGACTGGTTAGAACAGAATCGGGACCCCCCAGTTTTGAGTAACCCAAAAACAGCCAGTTAGTACACAAATTGACTTGATGTCTACTTTACTGCCTAGTCTTCTGCTATCTGAACTGGTTTTCTGATAAATTGGGTGTTATTGACGTTATAAATGTTGTTTTGAAACACGGACTGTTATTTAAACAGTTGCCCACTATTTTTCAGCAGAAACTTGTAAATTAACTTTTTTTTTTTTTTTATTCTTTATCTGCTATATTTTGGTATTTTCCAGTGTATTTTGATGTAAATAATCATATTATATCTATAAAACAACTATTTTGGAATGAAATATCCATAAAAACAGAGCTTCAATCAATTGAAATGACGCTTTTCGTGGTTTTTGAAATTTTCACCATATCTTCAATTAAAACTTCACTATCAAATCCTTTATTATGAAACTTGGGGCGTTTGATAGATAATCTTAACCCCTACCAAATTTGTATTTCAATTTGTTCGATCTATAGAAGATTGTGGATCGATTTTGGCCCGAAAAGCTGCTGTTAAAAAAACCTAAGTTTGATCCAAAATTAAAGATTTTTTATCAATTTATTGCTCATTTTGGATCAAATTGAGTTGTTATTTTTTCTCATAAAGTGTTCAACTATCAAATAAAATAGGTGAATTTATTTATGATTGAGTAATTTTGTTATATGAATTTTTTTCTTGCTTGATGTGATGAAAATTTTATAGATCAAAATTTTTTGCCATTTTTCAATTAAATCTTCAATATCGAATTGTTTTTTTATGAAATTTGGTGTGTTTGAAAGATAATTGAAGCCTTTACAATAAATGTGTATTGATTTATTTGATTATCAGAAGATTGAGGGTCTTTGATAAATCGTTGCTTGAAATGTTGCTCGATTTTAGGGGTCTTTGATAAATCGTTTTTTCTAAAAAAATATTTATTTTGCTTAAAAAAAGTATTTCTTTTGATGAATATGGTAATAATGTTTTTTATATTTTTAAATTATCTTATTTTATTGTAATGTTATATTTTTTATAAAAAAAATTATTTTGCTTAATAAAACTTGTTTTTTCTTTTAATTTTATATATTTGTTTTGCTTAAAAAAATTATTTCTTTTGATGAATATGGGAATAATGTTTTTTATATTTTTAAATTATATTTTTTTGTTGTAATGTTATATTTTTTATAAAAAAAATTTATTTTGCTTAATAAAACTTGTTTTTTCTTTTAATTTTATATATATTTTTAATATTATTTTTTATAACATTTGGACTTGAATGTATGCATATATCTTGTTATTTCCATTTATTTTTAATAATCCAACATGTTCTTCTTCTTTTTTTGTTTCATGATGAACGCTATGATTTTTTTATCTTTGATCTTCATGTATTTTGGCTTGTTTAATTGTAGTTAAGGATTTCTCCTATTTTTGTAATAGCATATCTCTTTTATGGGTGGCTTAGATAAAAGTAAAAAATTATTGAATAATGCAAATAGGACATTTGGATTACTAGATGATGTTTGCTTGTTGTATTAATTAAAAAGGAAAAAAAAATTCCATTGTACCGTTTGTGTTCTTAATCCTTGAAATAATTTTTGTTTTTTCCTTCCTTTTTTTTTAAGTGAATGATATAGTTATATAAATTAGCTCTCTATTATGGAAATATAGTATTGAGATGGACTTAATTATAATTTAGCTCTCTATTACTAGTCTTTTGTTATTTGATTATGAATTCCATTTTAGAAATTACTTTCTTAAATGAGGCTTCTTCATAGGCTTCAAATATTAAAAGTTATTTCGAAATTATTTTTGTAAGATAAATGTAGGTAATAAGATAGTATATAGGGAAATTATCAGTAATATAGCTAAATTTTAATAAAATCGCAAAAAAAACCCCAACTTCTCAAAACCTAACCCACATTCTTTTTCAAATTTTTGGTTTTTCTAGACAAAAATACCCTTTTACAGTAGTCTTTCTACTGTAATACATTTTGATCTTTACGGTAATTTAGATACCGTTACAAATTAAGATAGTATTACGGTATATAAAATACCGTAATAGTATGAAGTTATATTACAGTACTTCGAGTACCGTAATAACTAATCTTCTTTTTACAGTATTGTCAATACCGTAATTGTTTGAATTATTACAGTAATTAAATTATCGTAATGTGTGGTGTCACCATATTCTTGTTATCGTATGAAAAGCTTCAAACCGAAACTAATATTAGGATTACCCTTTTCTCTAAAACTTCTTGTATCACACTTCTCATCTTTATCTGATGCTTGCCCACCAGATACTACAGCAAACACCAAATTTATAGAGAGAGAAAGAATATCAATTTAGAGAGAGAAGGAGAAATTGTTCGCAAATGGGTCTTAAATTGGTAATTGTATGCAAAGAATACTTTGTTTAAATATTCAATTAATTGCCGACCAGGATTATTAGGCTCTTTAATAGTAGTCAGTATCCATGTTGAATTATCCCGAGAGCACACAGATGCTAGAAGAGATCCAAAGAACCAATGGGACCCTCCTGCCTAACAAGAGAGCAACCATTTTTCTATAAATTACAAAACGAATGATTTAAAATGGCGTGAAATGGCACTGCATATTCATTTCAAGTTTCAACAGGGTATCATAAGAGATTTGTTAAAAGGAATGTAAATCGGTCAGAGAGAAGTTATATGATTTTGGATTCTGGTTTTGGTTCCGGTTTCGTGCACGACTTTCAACTTCCAATCAAGAAACAAGCATGCATTTCACTCGGTAAAAAAAGTATTCTTTAATGGACAATTACGGGGAGGATAAGGATGAGTGGGGGAACTCTAATATTAGATTCGATTTGAAACTTTTCAACCTATTACAGTAATAAGATTAACGTAAGGATTTCACCACACATTACGGTAATTTAATTACTGTAATAATTCAAACAATTAATATTGTAAAAAGAAGATTAGTTATTACGGTAATCGAAGTACCATGATATAACTTCATACTATTACGGTATTTTATATACCGTAATACTATCTCAATTTGTAATGGTATTTAAATTACTGTAAAGATCAAAATGTATACAGTAGAAAGACTACTATAAAAGGTATTTTCGTCTAAAAAAACCGAACATTGGAAAAAAAAAGGTTTGTGTAAAGTTTTGAAAAATTAAGGGTTTTTCTTGTGATTTTATTAAAATTTATGTATATTAGAGATAATTTTCTTAGTATATACTTATCAATATTTTTTCATATATTTTGATTTTTTTTGATCCATTTAAAAAATAAAATTCTACCGAATCAAACTGGCGCGGTTAATCACCCGGTTAGCCCGATTTGGACCTAACTGCTTCTGACCTCATATTTGATTAACCATTTCGAATTGATTTTTCAAACACTCAAAATATATCATAGTTGTTGCTTTTGTCTTCACTCGCTTTTTACCGGTTCATTCAAATACTTCTTGCTTGGAGGATACGAGAGATAAGGGAAGAAGAGTCGGTGACAATAGATGAGAGAGAAAGAGGTGGAGAGAGAGAGGGGGACCTTTTTAACGGAAGAGAAATAGTGGAGAGAGAGAGAGGGAAAGGAGAATTTGAAAGGAATGAGTTCAATGATAATTCAACGGGAAAATTAATTTAACGGAAAAAAAAAGCTCTTTGTGCGCGCTATGCTCCCAGATTTTTATATCTTCAAAATCGGCGTCTACAATTTAGATAGGTATATTCAAAAGAGAAAAGTTTATATGAAGCTGAGGCTCTAAACAATCAAATTTGACCGTACCTCAAAAATTTCATTAAAAGATGTCGTTTTGATGCTTAAATATATTTAAATTGATCATATTGATACTAAAATACATGGACATGAAAAATAATTGGATTTCAAGTTTTGAAAATAGTGTATTTTATAATGTATTTTTGGACGATCAATTTTTAAGATTTTTCAAGTTTTGATAGATCTGTCGATCTACACCATTTATAAAGCTTTAAACTTTATAAATAAATTTGAAGATATGTTTTAAGGCTATCACAAACATTTCCAGTAGTGAAACCATAATTCTCTACACTATTTTGAAGATAGGGTCTAATTTGATTGTTTAGAGCTTAGGCTCTATGCAAACCGGACTCTATTCAAAATCCAGACGATCGTTCCAAAAAAAAATCAAATAAATAAAAGGGGTTTTAGCGTGAAAACAGCGGCTTAAAGGTCTCTCACCCCCGCTGCCTCTTCTGCTCTTCTCTCTCTCTCTCTCTCTCTGAGACGATAATCCATTTCGAAGTCTCATCTTCTTCAACATTCTTCATCATTTTCAACAAAAGGTAAGGTTCTTTTTCTTCTCCTTTTTGCTGGTTTTCCTTTTATTTTATTTTTTTTTGCTGGTTTTTCTTTTTGTTGGAGGTAAATCATTGTGTATGAGGCTGTTGATGACTCCATGAGATTGATGCTTTGGTCTATTTTCTCTGCTTCTAATGAAAAAAAGGAATTTCTTCTAACTGTGTGTTGTATTTGTCAGAATGTTGTATTTGTCAGAATCTATGGGCAAAAACAAAATTTAATCTAACTTTGATATGTGGGTTTGCTTACTTGGGGTAAATAGAACCGACATTATATCCGTAGCGTAAGGATTCTTCATGATAAATTCACAACAACATTCCATTCTCTGAAAAAAAAAAAAAAAGTGAATAGGTTTTCTTTGCTGTATTTTTCTGGTTTTTTATTTTTAGTATTGGTTTTTTTTCAGTAATCCATTAAAAACGCACTTTCTATTTTGTTTATATATGGAATTGGTCAATGGATAATGATCAAGTGGAGCTGGTCCTGCAAGCTTTGGAATGCTCTATTTTTCTTGTTCAATGAAGGCTAAGAGCTAGAAGCCGGATTTTGGTTGTGAATCTCTTCATTGTTTATTCATTTTTTGTATATTATATTGGTCTCTTTTAGCTGCATTTGATCAATTTATCAATTATTTCAATTTTATGAAATTTATGGTTGCTTAATTAGTGAGGATTTGTGTTGGTGAAATTGGGTTTTATTTTGAATGCCGATTGCTCTTCTGTAGTTTTATTATACGATTTCTTTAGTCCTTTCCTTAGATTTAAAAAGTAAAAGAGGAAAATCAAAGATGGGTTATGTCTACTTTTTCCATTTGGTATGATTTTCTCTTTTTAATAATATAGTTTCTATAATTTTTTCTGAATTACACCATTCGTACTATTTTAACTCATAATTTGTATGTATGGATTACATTTCGATTATTCATCAAGTTTGTGTTGTTGCCTCGACAATATGCTTTGTAATGGTAATGCTATAGCAAAATTGAAATTGATGAAAATGAGGAACTTCTTAAGAGAAATGCAGCTAGGGTAGGACACCTAACATCCCTGAAAATTGGAGAATTGAAGAATTGAAGTGACATAGGTAGCCTGATATATATGGGATTAAGGATGATTTGATTTGTTTGTGCTTTTTGGAAAATTGTAGTGACACAAATGAGGGAATAGTTTTTGGATTCCCAATTCCATGATGTTGAGTATGACAAATCTTGGACCTTCTTTGATCCAATGGAACTTGGATGCTGGATGTCTGTCACACCTTTTTCTTAAGAAGTTACTGTTTAATTATTTTCATCTTTATATCTGCACTTTGATAAATTGAGTCAAGAGTAATTAGAAAATCGTGTCTCTAGCTACAAGGAATTAGCACCTCCAGGACTTTTTCAAAGGGCAGTTTGTGTAGTAAATACATATTTTCTTTTAACTTCATCTCTTGCAAGAGCATCTGCTCCCAACTTTGACTCTCACTAAGATTCTTGTGGCACCTTTGAATGTGCTATTTGTTTCAATTTAGAGTTCCCTTAAGATGAATATAGAGGCAGGTATTATGCAATTATTCTTTGTCAGACGTTTGGAGGTTCATATTTGTCTTAGGTAAATTCTACCTCGTGGATGCAGGCTATCCCAATATGCCAGCCATATGGTGTGAAAAACTCTCATACCAAATCCCATGCTTCAAATCAAATATTTACAAGAAATTGTAAAGAGTACTTATTGTCTATCTTCTATAATTTGTTAATATATGGCAATGCCGGTTGTTAATTTGTAATTGTCCTAAAAAATACTTATATTATCCTGTCTCCACTCTTGTTGAATATCTTGATTTGCTTACCGAGAACAAAAAATTGCCTTAATTTTGCTTAATGGATCCATTTCCTTACAAGCTCCTGTATATTATCAGATCAAAATGGGTCGACTTCCCAGCTCAAATAGCAACAGATTTAAGATGAGATTGAAGGGGATTAAGAAAAAGGCTTCTGAGTTATCCACTCTTTGCACTATTGACGTGTGCGTAATTTGTTTTGGTCCCAATGGTGAGCTTGAGACATGGCCAGAGGACCAGTCGACACATATGCCTGTTTTCGAAAGATGCATCATCTTAGCTAAGAGCAACTGGAGCAAAAGAAAGATAGATGCTTATAGCACTTTGGAAGCCCAAATTGACAAACTAAGTAGAGACTTAGTTAGAAAGCACCAAGAAATCAATGAATGTCTGCATTTTCTCAATGATAGCTACCTTGGGGTTCATTCCAGTGAGAGTCCCCAATCTATGTTGGCATCGTTAGATATGGAGATCGATAAAGCCAGTGCGAGATTGATAACAGAAACTGTGAAACCTTTGGATGAGACTGATTTCGTTGGATTGGATGACATTGTAAAATTGAATGGTTTTGACAATTTTAATGGGGGAGATGTTCACACCCTGCCGCTTCAGCTTCTTCAAGAAGATGATTTCCTTCGAAGTCATCAATGGTTGGTTGGTGGCCCCTCCTCCAGACTTTATTAGGGATCAAGAAGCTTGAAGGGTCATGGGAAGACTAGAATCATTGGTGTATCAGACTTGATGGATATGGGTTTTGAGCATTTTACCATAGCCAGCAACATCAGAGTCCTCTGCTTTCCATGCATCTAACCAGTCTTTGGTTCATTCATTCAATTTTTTTGTACATTCATATGCATATACATAAACTTATTCATTCTTCATGTAGTTATTCAGTGATTTCACATTCACTGGTTTTGTGCGTTCATTCATGAATAACAGTCATGTATTCATTCATTCATATCCTTATGTATTGGATGTATTCTTCCACCCTGCCGCTTCAGCTTCTTTAAGAAGATGATTTCCTTCCAAGTTGTCAATGGTCGGTTGGTGGCCCCTCCTCTGGCTTTTTTTGGGATCAAGAACCTTGAAGGGGCATGGGAGACTAGAATCACTGGTTTGTCAGACTTGATGGATATGGATTTTGAGCATCTTACCATAGCCATCAACATCAAGAGTCCTCTACTCTCCATGCATCTTACCAGTCTTTGCCTCATTCATTCAAAGTTTTTTACATTCATATGCATATACATAAACTCATTCGTTCTTCATGTAATTATTCAGTGATTCCGCATTCACTGGTTTTGTACATTCAGTCATGAATAACAGTAATGTGTTCATTCATATCCTTATGTATTTGATGTATTCTTCCTCCCAGCATTCACTGGTTTTTTACATTCAGTCATGAATAACAGTAACGTGTTCATTCATATCCTTATGTATTTGATGTATTCTTCCTCCCCTCCCATGTCGATGGTCTCATTCACTCCAATGTATATCTATTGACAAGTACTGTTCATATTACCATGAGTTATATTTTAATCAATGCTCTTATGATGATGTAGGGAGAGAGAGAGAGAGAGAGAGAGGACTTTTATAGAGGAATGGCCTCAGGGTACAACAACATGACACATAGAGTTCCATTGTCTCCCATTAATATTCAAAAGGTTACAAGCAATTAATATGAGAAGACTTTTTAGAGGAACTGTCTCCAAACAAATCGCAGGTTAAGTTTTTTAAGTAGCCTTACTGTGACACGCAATTTGGAGATATCAGCCATATGTGAAGGATATGGTTTCTATGAGTCCATGTAGAAATGAGTCCCTGATTGTTTTTTGGACTTAATTTTTAAGAACATGTAATTTTTTAACGTGGAGATCATGAATTTGAAAAATAAATAAATTTTAAAAAGTAGAAATAATAATTTTGTGAAAAAAATATTTGGACCATTAATTTCAATTATTTTAGATGGACCACCTATTTGGATAAGGTGGATGTTTTATCACTTGGGACCGCACATTGTTTCATGCGGTCCAGACCACATGAAACAAGTTTCCTTATGTAAATGTAAGAAGGGCAATATTGATGAAGTAAGCATTTCCCTCTAAAAGGACAAAAGAAAACAGGACAATATGTCAGATTTTTCGTTTTTGTGGGAATCATAAAAAAACAAATAATAGTATAAATTTATATGGAGCTTGTTTTCATGAGTTTCCCGACTCATAGTATTCTATTGCAGGCTCCCTTTGACACCCATTTTTTTTATACATCTTGGATCCAAATTTGTAGAGATCCGTGATCTAAGATCATGAATATAAAAAATTAAATAAAATTTTCAAACCTTCTTTTTAGAATTTTTGTCCTATCCATTGCATAGGAATCTTTAGTAGTAAAGATGGACGTTTATGAGTCAGTGCGCAAGTGAATCTGCTGACTTACAAAACACTTTTCCAAACTATATATTATGGGAAGCTTTTTATGTTTCCTCTACATCATAAAACTTTTGCCCTTTAACCGACAGTCAATTCTAAATGGACGGCTTAGATGACTCCAATGACGATGTTACTTTCTATATTTTTTAATTTTTATTTTTATTTATACAAAACGTTTTGACACCAAAATTTGGGCATCCAATCTTCTCTTGAACTCGCACCTATAAAAAATATAAAAAAATATTTTCAATAAAACAAAATGTTTAAAATACCCTTAAAAGTTTCGAATACATTTTGGTTATTTTATTTTATCAAAAATATATTTTTAATATTTTATTTAGGTGCATCCCATTGACGTGATGGAACGTACCAAATTTTATATTCATATAGTTAGTAAAAAAAATTAAAAATAAAATACTATGAGGTGTTGGATCTAGATTCAATGGTTAGTAGCTCACTTGATCTAAATTAGACTGCTACATGAAGGGGGAAGTATATATCTTTTATGTTGTAGGAGAAGCATAGAAATCTTTTCCATATATTATTGAGTGAGGTTTGTGCAAGGTTCCCACTCTATACTTGGAGGAGTGACATTTGTACAAGTTGCCCACTCTATACTATTCAAGTACGGCACACCTCTAACTTTTGCCACAAAGATATAATTCTGGTGTTGGAAACCTTTCAATGGCTTGAAAATCCATATTTGCTCCTAATTAAGAAATTTCAAAGTCTAAAAAAATGTAGAGATCAAATAAATCTATAAACACTTGAAAATCTTGAAAATAGACGGTCAAGATAATTTGTTACAATATGCACTATTTTTTGGACTTGAGATTTTGTTTTTTTTTGTTATAGCTCTATATCTCAATGTCGAGATGATCAATTGAAAAGTTTTCCATCTTCAAAACACTTTTTTTTTTTACTTGATTTTTGAGATGCACCTTACTTCTATGGTATAAAGTAACCTTAAACAATCTAATTAAGGCATAACTCCACAGTTTATCATTACATGTAATTCTAGTCTAAAAAATGTTTAATTTTATCTGAAAAAAAAATCTATCTCTAATTTATAAAATTTTAAACTCTAAAAATGATTAAAGTCAAGTTCATCTATAAATATATAAAAATCTTAAAAATGGACTATAGAAAATATGTTGTAAGATACACTATTTCTGGAACTCAAAATCTTTTTTGTTTTTCGTAGTTATACATCTCGATGTCGAGATGATCAATTAGAGTATTTTTCAACATTAAAACAATATTTTCTAATAGATTTTTGAGGTGCAACTTTAATTCTACATTTTAAAGTTGCAACCTTATATAAACTTTTCCCTTATATAAGAGTCCAAGTAATAAACCATGGCCCATTTGGATTGGAGGAAATTAAGAATCCCAGATATTTGAAATCCAAATAAATCTATGAATTTTCAATATCAAGGATTTTTTTCATGGATTCCTCAAATCTCTTGTTTGGATAAACCATACAAAATTCATGGATTATTGGCAATCACTTCCATGTCCGCTTTTTGGTAACTTGATACAATTTCTCTCTCTAAATTTTTTATATACTTTCTCTCTCTAAAACTCAAAATTTGGGATAGTGTATCTATAAAAATTTTAAGATAGTTTCTCTCTCTAAAATTTATTATGGTTTGTCTATCTAAAATTTAATATACTTTCTATCTAAAATTTAATATACTTCCATGTCCATTATTTGGTAACAAAACTTGATACAATTTCTCTCTCTAAAATTTTTATATACTTTCTCTCTCTATAACTCAAAATTTGGAATAGTGTATCTATAAAAATTTTGAGATGGTTTCTCTCTCTAAAATTTAATATGGTTTGTCTCTCTCAAATTTAATATACTTTCTATCTAAAATATTGAAATTGTATATCTAAAAAATTTGAGATAATTTCTCTCTCTAAAAATTTTAGATGTTTTACTCGCTCTAAAATTTAATATAATTTCTCTTTCTAAAATTTTAAGATACTCTCTCTCTGAAACTTAAAACTTGAGATAGTTCCCCTCGTCAATAATTTTGAGATAGCTTCTCTCTCTAAATATTTTAAAGTAGTTTCTCTCTCTAAAATATGATATAGTTTTTCTATCAAATTTTAATATACTTTCTCTTTCTAAAAGCTAGCATTTGAGATAATTTCTCTCTAAAAATTTTGTGATAGTTTATTTTTCTTAAAAAAATTATATACTCTCTCTCTAAAATTTGATATAGTTACTCTTAAATTTAGGAAGCTTTCTCTCTCTAAAACTTCATGTTTGAAATAGTTTCTCTCTCTAAAATTTTGAAATAGTTTCTCTCTTTAAAATTAGATATAGTGTCTCTCTAAACATTGATATACTTTCTCTCTCAAAACGTTAAAATTTAAGATACTTTCCCTCTCTAAAACTTAAATTTTGAGATGGTTTCTCACTCTAAAAATTTCATGTACTTTCTCTATTTAAAATTTGATATAATTATCTATTTAAAATGTTAATATACTTTCTCTCTCTAAAACATAAATTTTGCGATGGTTTCTCTCTCAAAAATTTTGAGATAGTTTCTATCTCTAAAAAGTTTTAGGTAATTTCTCTTTCTAAAATTTGATATAATTTATATTTCTAAAATTTTAATATATTTTCTCTTTCTAAAATTCAAAATTCGATATAGTTTATCTCTAAAACTTAAAATTCGAGATAGTTTCTCTCTCTAATTTTTTTTTTTTGCCATTTCTCTTTCTAAAATTTATAATAGTTTCTCTCTACAAGTTTAAGAATACTTTGTCTCTCTACAATTTTAAGAACACTTTCTCTTTCTAAAACTTAAAATTTGATATAGTTTCTCTCTTTAAAAAATTTTGAAATAGTTTCTATTTCTAAAAAATTTTAGGTACTCTCTCTAAAATTTGATATAGCTTCTCTATCTAAAAATTTGCATGTACTTTCTCTCTCTAAAATATGATAGTTTCTCTCTAAAACTTAAAATTTGAGATAGTTTATCGCTCTAAAATTTTGAGATAGTTTATCTCTCTAAAAAATTTGGTACTTTATCTCTCTAAAATTTTAACAGATTTTTTCTCTCTAAAAGTTAAAATTTGCGATAGTTTCTCTCTCTAAAATTTTGAGATAGTTCATCTCTCTAAACAGATTTGGTACTGTCTCTCTAAAATTTTAACATGCTTTCTCTCTCTAAAATTTTAACATACTTTCTCTTTAAAAGTTAAAATTTGAGATAGTTTTTCTCTTTAAAAATTGAGATTGTTTCACTCTCTACAAAATTTATATACTTTCTCTCTCTAAAATTTTCATACCTACCAAATTCTCTCTATGTTTTGAGTCAAGGGAACTAATGAGCGAAATCCATGGGCCTTGAAACTACAAAAGAACAGGTTTTGATGTGAAAATGAAATCATGGAAAAGTATATCTTATTTCCAAAATTTTGATTTTGATGATTTTAAGTATTTTAGTCATTAAACAACTGGATTTTGACAATATCCAATATATTAGAAATCCATGTCTTAAAATCTATGCACCCAAAGAGGTCCATAGTGTTTCCTCCTCAGGAAATTGGACAATTTTCCACCAAATCGTAATGAGATTTGAAATGTGTATTGCTCCTTTTATTAGTCCATATTTCTCCCTTAACCTGAAAGTTGGGATTTTGTGGTGGAATGTGTTTATTCCTTATGTATACGTAGCGAAATGTACGTGCTCCGCCCGTGTTTTTTTACAAATACAAGGTATATAAAGACGTGTAATAAAAAAAGGAAAAAGTTTATATAATGATGCAACCTTATAATGTAAAACTACGGAGGCAGTTTAAAAATTCATCGAAAAATGTAGTTTTAATGTTAAAAAACCCTTTGATTGATTATCTCGACATCGAGATGTATGACCATGAAAAATAAAAAGA